TGAAATGACTTTGATTGTTCGGATCCCCATTTGAATTCATTTCTTTTCGCCTTTGTTTTATTGGTAACCTTGTTAATGGGAGAAGCAATCCTCGCAAAGTTCGGAATGAATTTCCTATACCAGTTGAGTTTGCCAATGAAGGCATTTGCTTGCTTTAATGTTGTTGGCTCAATCATATTAATTATTGGTTTAATCTTGTCTGACGATGGTTTTAATTGATTCTTACTAATGATATGACTGAGAAATTCTATTTCTGGGACCGCAATGGTGCATTTGGCACTATTAACTTGGAAATTAGCTGTCGCTAATATCCCAAGAATTTCATTCAGATGCTGCTGATGTTCTTCGAAAGAGTTGGAAAAAATCAAAATGTCATCCAAATAGACCACCACATAATCCCATCTACCATTTCCAATGAGATCATTCATTACTCGTTGAAAAGTGGCTGGCGCATTCATCAACCCTTGTGACAATACATAAAACTCATATAGTCCATCTTGAGTGACGAAAGCTGTTTTTGGCCTATCAGCTTTGGAAATCGGAATTTGGAAATACCCACTTTTTAAATCTAATTTTGTATAGTATTGATGGCCACCGATCCGATTTAACAATTCTTCGGTTGATGGGTGTGGATAAGTGTCCTTCTTTGTGACGGCATTTAGTTTTCTATAATCCACTAAGAATCTGATTGTACCATCTTGCTTCTCTTGTATAATCACTGGAGATGACCACGGTGACCGAGAAGGACCTACTTGATTGTTATTAATCATTTGCTGAACTTCTTGCTGAATAATTTTTCGCTGCTGCACAGTTTTGGGATATGGCCGTTGACTGATTGGAAGACTGGAACCAGTGTTAATCGTATGCTGGACTTGGGTGTCTGCCTGTGTTATTTTGGTGGTATCAAAAACCTTGTAATGCCGATTCAGAATGTCCAGGGTTAGCTGTTGCTGGCGTTGATCAGTCAGATGTTTTACGAAATCATGGATCTTCTGACTAGTTTCCGAATTGTGTTGCGGTGGAGAATCAGAAGTTGTCGTGGTTAAATTCAGTTGTTCAAAGTGGGATGAATCAATTTTGAGAACTTCAAACTCTGCTGGAATGACAATTGAGCCTAGGTTTGTGTTCTTATTGATCGTTCGAGGAAAAGGACTCGGATTATAAACTTTCAAATATGTTGTGTAATTCTGGATTCCTAGCAGTGCTGAATTCAACAGGACTCGGTGATTTTGCTGCAAAGCATAATTCGGGCGAAACTGAACGATGTTTGCTTGTGAAACTGGGACTGATGCCCGAATAACACATTCTTGGTGTGGCAGGAGATGGATCGTATCAATGGTATTGATCTGGAGAGAAGTAGAGTCACTGTTGGCAAGAAATGGAACTGCAGTGCCTCTACATAACACACCATACACGGAACGATGAGAGTGACACACGCTACCCTTAACTACCGCCCATTGGCTTCTTTTAATCTTTGTTCTAAAAAAATGGATCTTTGCCTCAAGATTCTTACCTTCAATTTTTTCTCTTATTGTATCACACGGAGCTCGACTACCTTTCAGACGTTGACCTAACAATAACATTACCCCTCCATTACTCTTCGTTCCTTGTTGGTAAAAAAGATTATGATTAATTATCTTAAAATCATTCCACTCTCCTACTTCCGTAAATGGACTTAGAAGAATGCACTCGGATATTTTTAGAATAGCATTTGATAGAAAGTAGCTAGAGAGCTTCGACCTTCGCCATATGAAAGAGGAGACTTGCTGACATGTTTTCACAAACATAAACGTTTCCGGAAGTGTTTTTTGAAACAGCTTTTGTAGGTGATCTTTGGAAAACCAGGCCGTGTGTAAAACTTTTTCATTAGGATTGTATTGATTTTCTTCCAGGCTATGATAGGCCAAGGTATCCTCTTCAAAATGAGAATCAAGCGAGACCTTGATTTTCCGCAACTCGGGTGTTGTGTCGGATTACTTGCGAGTCCCAGAACTGGTACTCGGTGACTATTGGTAGCCTTGAAGACGGTTGGACCATGGGTAATCGATCATGCTGAATCTTGTGCCAATATCTGTTTTTGGAAAAAATCGAAATCATATTTGTGTTAGTGAGTTTTCCAGAAACCTTTTTGGAAAACTTTAGAGTTTTACGAAATTTCTTTTCAGATCTTCTCTAAATAAGATATAGAATAGCTTAAATACTCTACACTCTGAAGTCTTGAACTCGTTTTAATGTTTATTGAGTGAATAGTGAACTTTTTAATAGAAGGTGAAGACAGCCTGAAAACCCTAATTTTCATAAAACTCGCTTTTCGGTAGACTTTTAGAACTTTTTCTAAAAAAACAAAGATTGCCACAAGACAGCATGATCGATTACCTATAGTCCATCCATTTTCAAGGCTACCAATAGCCACCCGGTGCCAGTCCTGGGACTGACAGGAAATCCGACACAACATCCGAGCCGTGAATACTTTTTGCGCACCAGATATGCTTCCAAAAGGGTTTAGAACCAATGAAATAGATAGCCCTGACATCAGGGAATCTATTGATGTATTATGAGTGTCAGTTATACTCAGCTGTGATCAAGTTGTAGGCAGAATAAAGCTCGCAGGACATTTTTTTCAAAAACATCTCGCTGGACGTTTCTGATGTAAACTGCACTTTTCTCAGGAACGAAGTGTTTCTGAAAGCTTGTTTTATTATCACATACTAATCATCCAAGAAGGAAAAAAGGGTAATAGTTTAACCTCAAATGGATGACTCATCATTGAGTTATTGACAAAGCAATTTTTTAAATCTCTCAGGATATTTTGTGTGAAAACAACATTGTATAACATATTCAAACACGGTTTTTATTGAGATATAAAGACTTCGAAAAAACTATTTTTTAAATAGGATGGAGGAAAACCTCTTGTTTCTTTCGAGAAGCGGCACCAAAATCACTTTGTTTTGGCCTTGTTTCGTCCATATCTCGACAGCTAGATGAGATACAAACTTGTTTTTTTCAGTACTAAATACCCATCTTTAAACAAACAAATCAAAAAAAAAATATTAAGTTTTGTTGCGTAGAACGACTTCTGTAAGTAAAACAATTGGTGAACAGTAACGGTACAATGCCAATGCAACTCACTCGTATATATCTTTATATATAATATCAATTGTAAGCGAAATTTAAAATGATTCAATTTTCAAATTACCTAATCAAAATTACCAAAAAAGTAAAATAATTTGATCATGCACGGGCACGCCCTAAAAAGCGTGAATGTATGTACAGACGATAGGTAAAGAGAAGGAGAAGAGAACACGTCTGTACAGTAGCTCATACCTATAAATATATAGACAGCTGCTTTTTAATTTTGTTCCATTGTCCAGAAAGCTCGTTTTTTCGGTGAAGGTCTTTTGGATTGAACTCGTAATATGTTTATGAGTTACATATAAGACTTGATAATGCGAAAACATACGTTATTAGAGTGGATCAAGGTAAATAGTGGCACTTGTAACTTGTCAAAGTTCTGGGAAACAGCTGAAAGTTGAACTTGTAGCAATATTATTGGTACGTTGACTGCTCATCTTCTTTCACCTTTTTTCTCTAATTGTCTCGCTTTTCTTGTGTCGATCACTCACAATCAGATTATGATTAATGATTAGTCGTTTTTTTGCTCAGTTTACTTTTATTCTTTTCTCCTTTTTTCTGTTTTCTGTTAATTTTACTTTTGCTGACAAAAAAAGAGGTTCAGCAGTTCAGTTGAATAAAGGGAAGAAAAAGAAAGTACGTCCGAAAGTAAACGCTGGCATCAACAGGAAAAGGGAAATAATCTAACAGCTTAACAACGTTCCAGAACTTTCGTGCAATAAATTATCGTACGGTCTAGGCTATTTGGTCGCCACGTGAAGAAACGAAACCTTATCGTTAACAAACTGGAAAAATGTTTGATGTGCTTTCGATAGTCTTTGTTAAACAAAAGAGAAGTCGCTTCGTCATAGCCGGTGTGCAAAAAATCAATCGGTTATAAATGTACATTTCTATTTTCATTCCTCTATGTAAGTAACACACGCACCTCAGATAAAACATATCACAAATATTTTTTGTCTTGTAACCTTGTTTTTTCAGGTCACATGTACAGGTAAAAATTTGCATTTCACATCCTAACGACAAAAAAACCAAATCGAAAGTGTTTTGTATTATGGGCAACCGTTTAGAACCGTCTATTGAAGGTAAACTATCCCCAGTTGATGCTCATCGTCTATCTGTAGCGCACGATATTGAATTAAATCGTGTTCATCGTATGCACCAAGAATTTCTTTTACACTCGGCGCCTGATGGTGCAATGGATAAATACGAATTTCGGCATTGTTACAATCGTTATTTTGTACCACATCATCATTTAAAAGTCATTCCACATCATCAGAATCGGCAGGCTGATCGATGGTTCTCGAATTTGGATAAGGATAAAACAGGTTGCATTAGATTTCATCAATTTTTAGTCGTTGCTGACATATTACAAAAAAATTCTATTACCAAAGACAATCTGGATAAATTGATTGATTATCTAAATACTAGTGAAAACAAAAACGAAATTACATTTGCTGATGGGACATTAATCTTAAACTTTTTAAATGATTTTTATTGTGTAGAAGAAGAATATTCCACGGAAAAATTATGGAATAATGTGGATCAACCAATAACAAAAGGAAAACTTTTAAATTTTATCATAAAACATCCAAATTACAGTATACACATTTGAAGCTTGTATTTTTTGTTCCATCGAACTACAGGATAATGTGCCTTTGTCCGACGATGATAATGATAATAATAATAATAATAATATTTAATAATGTCCATATTCATCACTAAATCGTTATCATGTGGCTAGAAGTACGACATTAGCGCAAAATCGACTTTTTATACGTAGAACAGAATCGGTTCAAATTTTTTTTCTGAAGAACTTATTATATGAATGGACGGTCAGCAAAGTATCTCTTGATTCAAATCACTTTTCGACGAAAAGTGATTTGAATCAAGAGATACTTTGCTGACCGTCCATTCATATAATAAGTTCTTCAGAAAAAAAATTTGAACCGATTCTGTTCTACGTATAAAAAGTCGATTTTGCGCTAATAAAGAAAAACAATTAATTACGCGTGTTCTATATTATCTCTTCTGTATACCCATCATGTCCACTACACAATTAGGGAATGTTTTTGTTAAAAATAGTCTTTTGTAGTCAGGATCTTCTTATCCTAGCATTTGTAGCTTACCGTGATCCGCTGTAATAACGTATGTTATCTCATTATCAAGTCTTATATGTAACTCATAAACATATTACGAGTTCAATCCAAAAGACCTTCACCGAAAAAACGAGCTTTCTGGGCAATGGAACAAAATTAAAAAGAAGTTGTCTATATATTTACAGGTATGAACGAAAATCAGATAACGCCATTATTTCTGGAACGAATACAGCTAGAAAAACGCAAAGGAAGGAAACCGAACAAAGTTAAAAGGCTTCATCTTTGCATAGAAGGCCTTTCTTGATAAACACATGGAATTAACAATAAAGCCAGCTGAGACTTAAGGCCATCGAATGATAAAAAACTTTCTACTCGCTCTACTCCTTTTTTTTAAAGAAGTATTTTACTATAATACTCATAATAAGGCCAGCTTTTGGTCTTGATTCTCCAGTAAACTGCTGAGATTCCTAAGAAAATTTTTAACGTTTTGATCGCTTAACTACGTAGAAAACATTCTAGAACGTTATTTCGGAAAGTTTCAACCACTTTTGTTCATTCTTGTCGAAGTTTTTCTTGTGCTTTCTGCTATTCTTGTGGCCCATAAGAATAATTGTTGTTCTTTCGCTTTTTTTCTCACTGCGTTGTAATTCATTTTATCTTTTCTTTTTCTCTCGTTCGATCGGTCTCTTATGTAAGCGAAATTTTCTTTTTCGCCTGTTTACTGACTCCTGACTATGTAACATCTTTAGTCAAAATATATTCAGTTCACTGCAAAAATTATGAGCAAATAAGTTTCAGGTCCAGTATGATGGCAATTATTTGTTTTCTAAAGACGTTATTAGACATCTTTGTTTATGGAAACTTTTTGATACCATTATGTTAGGTTGTCTTACACTTGCCCCTATTCTTTTGTAAGATCTCGTTTATTGACTTCAATTGTTGCTTTTGCTGAGTACCGTTGGTAATAAAAGAGACACATATTCAAATGGCATTACGTGTTGCATGAACTCAGTATTCTGAAAAAACCTCAGCACTCGTAAACTGTTTGATTCCCCGTAGGACAAATATTCATGCTTGGCTCATGCGATATCCTGAAGCTCAAAAATGTATTAGTGTTAGAAATAATCTAGAAATCGAACGAATGGGAATGATTTTGTACGAAAGAGAAAGATCTTGGGTTCTGATAAAGTTCGGATGAACTGATTTGTTAGGTTTTTCATGAACAAATATTCTGTATACCATTAGTATTAAGAAATATTATAGATACATAGATGTGCCTTAGTACATCTTAAACATGTCGCAACGATGTTTTAGATCCTCAACATTTCACGTCAATGCCTGGAGTCAACTCCGATCATTAACGGACTAATTCGTATTCAGCTTACTTATTCGAATACCGAATTTCCCTTCGAACATTCACTCGCATAGCCAGTTGCTCCGCACCATTAGAGAACATGGATCCTTCAGCTCGTTACCACTCATACTAGCATAAGTGTACGCCAGCTCTTACCTTCCTTTCTGTGGGAAAATATTTTTCTCTTTATTTTCAGAGTTGTGACCAGAAAGAAGACGGTGAACTGCGGAGAGCAGACCGGTTACATTTATACTATTTTCTCTCTTCTTTTTCTTTTTCTTTCACCTTTTTCTTTCACCGAAATTTTCACTTTCCTCTCTATACTGATTTATTTCCATCTCTTCTGCCACACTGACAAAAAATAGTTTCATCATGTAACAGATGATGGAAAATATCGAATTAAACTACTCTAGCCATAAGTGACAAATTGTGTATAATACACGAAAAGGCAGACAGTATGCATATTTTAAACTTTCAATCAAACTTTTCGCACTGTTGAGGTGGTTTCGGCAAAAAATGGCTGTCTCACCTAATAAGGTTTCCATTGCGCTTTTGAATTTTGTTCTAAAACTACTACCATCCCAAAATAGAATTCACACGCTTGTTTTTTGAATACCCGAATACCCAAATATCAAGATCTACTCTTTTCCACCTGCTCTAAACGACTTTTTTACTAGAAAATAGCAAAAAAACATTCTTGTACTTCCCAAGGTTCCTAGAAAAGCTTTTAAAAAACCAAAGTAGTTTCTGTTGATGTTAAAACCTTTTATTAAACTGCATAGTATTGAGCAGGTAAAATAGAGTACATCTTGATAGGCATAATTTGAATAGACCGTCGCGGTGTTATGAATGTTTTGATTTTACTGAAAAATAAGCAAAAAAATGGGATATTTCACCTTATATGCGTTTTCACTAGATTTTTGAAACTTTTCTGAAAAACAAATATTGCCACTAGATCCAGAATGGCCGACAACCTGTGTTTTCATGCATTTGTGGCAGTCTTAACCAAACCACAGAGAAGTCCTAAGGCTTCTAGATTTCAAAAGAAGCAACTTTTATATCTGTTGCTAAGATAGGATAGTACCACTGCTGTGAGACTAAGCATGGGCGATAGCCTGTGCTTCAGTTGCTTTTAAGCTCGTAGGTCATCTCGCACGATTTCTAACGCTCTCAGCAAATCTGAAAACTTAAACTCCGTGTCTTTTCTTTATCGAGTTATTTCAGAAGCAGTGACCGTCACTTTGTTTCGAAAACGATGTGATCAGGTTTTAAAAATTGGTGGTTGGTAAACTTCTCGAATGAACTTCAAGGTCGTCATTTCTAGAAAATCCGGTTTTTCAGAAATCATTTTCTGAGGACCCTGAGGTATGGAATAATTTTTCTGCATTGAAGTATATAGAGTTCGACGCGCTCTTTTATTTAAAACCAGGCTCGATAGGACTGCAAACAGGAAACGTTTGACAAGTTAAGCCAAATCCGCTGGAAAGCGACGGAAAATGCAGTTTTCTCCTGAGAGAGTAACATACCCAGAACTTTTTTTCTAACAAACTTAGAGACATACGGTTTTCACCATTCGATTCAGTTCGTTGAGTTCTAACAAATGAGGTAGATCTAGTCATTAGCGCCAAAGGTCGATGTAATGGTGGTAGATTTCATATGGACTCAGCCTAAAGTAGAGAAGAAAAAAAATTACTGTAGTAGTACTTTTTGTAACTCACTTTTGGACACTTTGCCAGGTTTCTTTTCAATGTCAAATCGAATGAGCATGGTTTGAGATAAAAGTAATTTTTCATTGGATAATCGACTTTCTCAATGGTAGTACGGACTGTCTCTTAAGTATAATTGCTTGCTTACTTAAATGAAATTCTTCACTCAGAAAGCTTAAGTTTTTTTGAGAAACAGGCTCCACACAGAGGGCAATTTTGGTTAGAGCAGGTGGACATGTGCTATTAATTCAATAATAACTTTTGATAGAAAAGAGCTGGAGAGCTTCGGTTTTTGCCATACAAAAGAGAAGACTTGGAGACATGTTTGCATAACCAAAATTATTTTCAGAAGAGTTTTCTGAAACAGGTTTTCTATGCAGTCTTTGGAACACTAGGCCGTCTGTAAAAATTCTCCAATAGGATTGTATTGCTTTCTTCTCATGGGCTGATAGGCCGGGGTGTACTCTTCAAAATAGGAGCGAAGTGAGACCTTGATTTTTCGCGGTTCGGGCGTTGTATCGGATTTTCCACGAGTCTCAGGAGTGGCGCCCGGTGACTATTGGTAACCTTGAAGACGGATGGAATATGGATAATCGACCATGCTGAGTCTCGTGACAATATTTGTTTGTAGAAAAAGCTTTAAAAATCTATTATAATCTATAATCTATTATTTATATTATATAAATTAATCATATCTTGAAATTTTGAACTCGCTCTGATGTTTACTGAGTGTTTGGATCAACTTCACAAAGCAGCTTGGTGAAGTTTTCAATATTAGGTGAAAACAGCCTGAAAACCCAAATTTTCGTAAAACTCGTTTTTCTGTAGAATTTTAGAATTTTTTCTAAAAACAAATATTGCCACGAGGCTCAGCATGATCGATTGCGTATGGTCCATCTATTTTCAAGGCTACCAATAGTCATCGAGTGCCAGTCTTGGAACTCCCACGATTATGGTTTTTGGGAAACTTCTAGCACAATAAGAATCACTGAAGCTAATTGGCACTATGGGCAATCACAGAGCACACATAGAGGAACATTTGGCGAAAGGTTGAGGTCTTCTGGAGTTTAGCTGTTTATAGCGTTTATAAAATACCGAATGATGCATTTTTGATACTCAATTTTAGCCTAGTAGATTTTTTCTGTTGTAAAAATAACACTTTCGTTTTATGTCCGCCTGGTTGCCCACTGTGCCCCAGCTCTTCGGAACAGAAATTTTGTCTCTGAAATCGTTTCAGTATCCTATAAAAGCATCTTTCAAGATTACGTAACAAGATCCCATAAGCTTGTAAATTTTGTGACAAAATATGCCACAGACATCCATTCGTGATTCGATTCCGTCTTTGGTGGACTGTATTTGTTCTACTTAAAAGGCATGATTTGTTGATAAAGAAAATTTTCTAAAAAAATTTAGTTTATTGAAAGTTTAAAATATGCATGCTGTCTGCCTTTTCGTG